TTCATGGATACATTCACTACGGTCTTTCCAGCATGCAGGGCTGGATTTAGAGGATCAAGTTTCCCCAACTTGGGAAATGAAACCCCTTTGCAGAACCCCAAAATCTTACACATGCGAGCCACTCCTACTTTGGCGGACCCTACTGCGAATCCACAACTCTGCCCTCTAGTGACGCAAGTGACACTTTCAGTCTGCAACCAACACGCAACCCTGTGTTCAATCCTTGTTCACATTACGTAAAAGGGTAAATGATGATTTCACATTAAATGTTGTACTATTGTTACAGCTGCACTCTGGCTTAGTAAAATGGAAAAACTCTTGGTGACAGAGAAATTGCAATTGCTACAAGTGTTGACAGCTGATCTAAAATAAAAGGAATAAAAAAAAGATCTTTTTATACTATGCGGTTTTATACTGCTGGACATAAAAGTTCCTTTTTTAGGCTGTTTCACGAGTTAAGTTCTCTGCAGCTTTCAGTTGTCCAACGATAGCCAAAAAGTGCATAAATGCGAACGTAAAATATTGTTCTTGCCGGATGTTTGCTCAGGATTGTATCTTCGGTCTGCGGACACGGTTCTTATTCCTTGGTCTTTTATTCCCTAAAAATCAACAATAATTTATTAGATAAGAAACATTATTGTTATTTTACATGTAGTTCTTTTAAGAATGTGTGAGTGTGTGTGTATTTTTTTTGTATACAGCTATACAAATATGCAAAATGATCATTAATTCGCATGCTCCTGGAGTGCCTATATGGTTACATTGCTGTACGGAACCCTTATTGCTGATATAGTAATATATTTTTCTTTTGCCCTTTGTGTATTTTTTGTACCTAGCTTATTGCAGTCCCCGCAGATCTAAAGAGGAGTTCCAGCGATATTTGTGTTTATTAAAAGTCAGCAGCTACAAAAACTGTAGCTGCTGACATTTACTAAACACACACTTACCTGTCCCAGAGTCCAGCGATGTTCTCACCCGCAGCGTCCCTTCTCTCCTCCACAGCGTTGGCATCTCTACTGTGGGCACCAGGCTGTGACACCTTGCAGCTTCATAGCCAGGTGCCCACTGCACATGCGCGAGTCGTGCTGTGCTTCCTAATTGGTCAAGCAGTCCTCTGGGACCTGTGAAAGTTCCCAAGAGACTGCGAGAAGGAGAAGGGGGCCTAACTTCTGGCTCACTTTGCCGCGGCGAACTGAGCTGAAAGTGGGAGCGGGTACCTGTCAAAAACAGGTATCTGCTCCACTTCCCCCCCAAAAGGTGTCAAATATGGCAGTGGAAGGGGGGAGCAGGCAAATAAGTGGAGCTTCCGCTTTTGAGTGGAACTCCGCTTTAAGCTGGTATAGAGTGCAGAGATTGCTGAGCTCTCTGGGGGTGTGACTAAAGGTGCTCAGGGGTGGGCTTGGCCAGTGGCGAAGGTCTAAAACACTTTATGTACAATAGCCACTCCCCCATTTCAGACTCTTGATCCACAATGAGGCCTTCTAGTGCCATTATTCCCATTACCGGTCTTCACTGCCTCCAATGTGTTACCTGCATTTTTTTTTTATGTTTATACAACAGCATATTATATAGGAAACCCAAAGGTTATTATATATTATATTGATATCTTATAGATAGGTAGGATTCTCTGGTCAACACTAGGTTTGATATCTGTGGAACCCTACAACTATTTCTTTTCTTTTATCATCATTATTGATAAAAGGAGGCAGTGTTGCTGGTAAAACAGATGGACACACAGGGTTCTCCAATTTCCAGAATTCTTTAGGTTTCTAAACACACAGACGTTGTTTAACAGTAGCTTGTAAATTCTGTTCTAAGAGGATCTTCTTCAGGAAGCATTTTTACAAGCTTTGTAAATTCAAAATGGAACTGAAGCCAAAAAGAAAAAAAAAAAAAAAAAAACAACTACGTGGACTCCACATTCTCAGTTGTTTTGCTGAAAGAAGGGGGTTGTCCTTTTTTCCTAACTTAACTAAACATTTTAAATTAAAGAGTGGTGACTGTAACTTTAAAGCTTTTAACAGAAGTTTTGGTCTTTAGCAAACTTTGGTATGGATTTCAAAAACTAAAGCAGTTGTGTAAATTTAAAACAACATCCAGCATTAAGGTATTCATTTAAAGCCACCAGACCACAGCTGAAGGCTGCTTAAAGGGCATAAGAGGGGGGGGGGGGGGGGGGGGGGGGGGGGGGGGGGGGGGGGTGGGGGGGGGGGGGTTTCTTCAAAATGTATAATAAATACTTTGCAAAATGTTTGTTAAGCTAATGTTCTTTGGTCTAACATATACAGGTTAATGTAAATAAAATACCTGTGCATATAGGGCACTGGACACAAGCCTACTACCCTATAAATCCAGCCCTGCAAGCTGGCTTTGGTTGACTTAATGCCCATAACATCCAAATTAATGTTTTTGATATTTTCAGATTTTTTTTCAGCGATAAACAAATAATACATTTTATTATTATTCATGTTTTTCAAAAATAATCTTTCCTTAAAATTATCTTTTAAACCATTTTTATAAATAATATTTCCTTAATATTTTCAGTTAGAAAAATAGTATACTGTATACTTAATACCAGTATTAACAACAGTTAATTAAAATTCTAAACAGAATAATAATAACTTATTGAATAAATGATTCATATAAAAATGTTACAGTAAAATTCCTTTAATTTTCAAATAGATATTTTTCAGAATGTCCAATAATCCAGAAAATAGATAAGACATCGTCGAATGCAGATCACCACAATCTGTCCATTCTTCGAGAAAAAAAAAAAACCCATAAATGCAGTCAACGGCAGACATGACGTGAAAAGAGAGAGACAGAGAGAACAATAAGTAGGCTATCAGGACAAAAACGATCAATACATTTTATAAATATTTTAAATTATTCAAAATATGATTTAGCACTTAATTAAAGGAATTTTTCTGCATGCAAAAAAAAAATTAAATAAAACAGTACAGTAATTAGTAAAAGTACAGGGAATGGGAAAAAATAACTTGGTTTAACTAGACACCAGGATACTTTTGTCAGGCTGCTACAGAAGAAAATAACCCAGACAGGAAAAATGGTTGGCATAAATGTAAACAAAATGTAAATTTTCTTTTCTTAATTTGTAACATTAAAGTACCCAACTATTGCCAAGCATTAACACTTGAACAAAAAAATGTGCCCAGCATTCCCTTGCCAACCAGCTGCTATAAAAAGTCATATAGTAGTATCAGTAGTTGTACATATTTTTTTGCACATACATATTTATTAAATAAAACAAATATAAATTATTAATTTTTTAATATATATATATATATATATATATATATATATATATATATAAAAATTTTTAAGCAGAAGCTGTTTTCTTTCACATTATCTGTCTGTCTTTCTACTAGGACTCATTCATTTTTGTGTGTAAATTTGCTCTTTAGCTATTGATCTCTGTAACAACAGGGTTGGAAACTGCCGCCTGGCTAGATAACCACTTAAAGCAGGGGCCTACAAAACTGCGGACCAAGGGCCGGATATGCCCTTGGCTACCCTTTATCTGGCCCTTGAAGCACTATTCCTCCCACTGAGACATGTAATGGGGCAGCGCTTCTTCCACTGAAACCAATGATGGTGTACTATTTTTCCCACTAATACCAATGATGGGGCACTACTCCTCCTACTGACCATCAACCCTGAGGCCATGTTTATTCTCATTGATGCTGGGCCAGGACATTTTCTATCCTCGCTGGCCCTAATCCGGCCCTCCTAAAGTCTGAAGGACAGTATACTGGCCCTGTGTTTGAAAAGTTTGGAGACCCCTGACTTAAAGGATAAGCTCACCTTTGGAACATGTTACATGTTCCACTTGTTTTTAGGGTGGAACATGTATTACGTTCCAGCTCCTGCCTCCTCTCCCCCCTATCCCCCCTCCCTATGACAGTGGGTGGGGGATCTTCTCCCCACACCCACTATCACAATTTAAAAAGAGTACAGCTGTGCAGGGCTGTGCCCACACGGCCATGTCATTCATTGGCAGAGTTCTATGAATGATAAATTGCAGGTACTGTCAACCGACGACTTACAGTTCTCAATGAACCGTGAGGGCGTTGGTGAGCACTCTCATAGCTCATTGGTTCTTGCTGACATTCAGTAACTGCCTGCCTGTACAGAAGGTATGGGCAGACAGCTGACTGAGTATCAGCAGGATCCTGGCATTGCACTTACCATCTGCTGAATGCTTATCGTGGGTGTAAGAAAGCTGCAGAGCCCCCTTACATCAGAATCCCTTTTACATTAGAGTACTTACTGGGATACAGGAGAGAGAAGGGGGGGGGGAAGAGTTCACTCACATTGGATGGATGGATGGATCAGCAGGCTGTGCCTATCCTCTTCTGGCTGCTGGCCTTCAAACGTCCTGCCCACACATCTCCTTCTCTGAGGCACAACACTGCCATGGAGAGTCGGTGTGGCAGACAAAGAAGGCGAGGGCAGAAGGAGGAAGAGCAGAACCAGCTCTCTCTCTCTCTTTCCTCTCCCATCCATGCTGGGGTGGAGGGGGGGACTGTCAGTGCTGGCTCTGGGCTGTGAAAGAGAGGCTCTCTCAACTCAGAGCCCTGCAGCCACAGTTCGACCTCTAGGGGCCCCCCAAAGTGGCATCAGAATAGGTGCAAATTGTCCCCCCCAGCCCAATCCGGCCCTCCTGCAGAGTAAAAAAAATAATAAATGCACATCTATTTTACCTGCACTCATTTTTTTTTTACAAAAAGGTGACCCTAGCCTTTAATAGTCAAAACACTTAATCTTTACCTTACCGAAAGAAGATTAAATAAATATTTTTTAGTCCCGATAGTAATAAAGAAAGAAAATATGTGCAGACAAAAAAAAAAAACAGTTCCCTTTAATTCCTTAAGAATGTACATAAGCTTGAGCACTTAGTCTACAACCAAGTTATTTTCGACATTTCCCTGTCCCTTTGAGAACATTTATCTCTCCATAATAAGTAAGTCCGCACACACACCTTTCTTGCACACATTATTACAGTCTTCCAGCCTGATAAAGTTGTTGGAGTTTCCTCCACAACCTGTGTACTGAAACTCTTCACAAGACTTGCTCTCAATGTTGAAATAATAGCGGTTGACAGAAGCAGAGCATGATCCCTCATCCTTGGGACTATAGCAGAAGCTGGGAGCATCTACAAATACAAAACCAGACATCTTCTATAATGCCGGCCATTGAAAAAAAAGCTGTCACTAACATTTTAAAGGGATACTGTCAAGACACAAAAATCCTGCATCACAGGAAGCAGTCTGGTTTGTAGCATTATGAAATTCTGCTGAATGGTCTGTTATCTGTTTTTGTTGATCTGGAATTCACGTTAGTTCAAGTTCCACGTGTTTTTTTAAATCATCACTTTATAACATCCATTTCCATCCTACAATGACCCACCTTTGTTAAATGAACCTGTTCTCCAATTTAAAGCCAAACTCTAGGCATCTTTTTCAGAATCAAAATAGACCCTCGGCAGGTGTTAAAAATAAAGAGGTAGCTTGGGCCACACAACTCACTTTCAGTTTGGAGCTGCCATCCCATAGCACTTCTTTTTCACTACAAGAAGTTCTCAGTTTTCCAGATTGAATAACAGCGACTGTCACTAGACCTGGAGGACTGAGGAGATACCTTGAGTGCACAGTCACTAGACCTGGAGGACTGAGGAGATACCTTGAGTGCAAGGTCACTAGACTTGAGGACTGAGAGATACCTTGAGTGTAGGGTCACTAGACCTGGAGGACTGAGGAGATACCTTGAGTGTAGGGTCACTAGACCTGGAGGACTGAGGAGATACCTTGAGTGTAGGGTCACTAGACCTGGAGGACTGAGGAGTTACCTTGAGTGCAGGGTCACTAGACCTAGAGGACTGAGGAGATACCTTGAGTGTAGGGTCACTAGACCTGGAGGACTGAGGAGATATCTTAAGTGCAAGGTCACTAAACCTGGAGGGACTGAGGAGATACCTTAAGTGCAGGGTGCCATGGGCACATCCCCTAAGGGGCCGTCAGCACAGTGTTCTTCATTTAGTGCAAAAATACAGCCACAAATGCAGATATTTATAGTTTTGCTTTAAGTAGCTAAATGCTATAGGCCAAAATGAAGGAGTGTGTATGGGCCCATAGCATAAAGTACAGCTTCGTTCAGATTCATATAAATTGCAAATAATGCAGTTTATTGTATGTAGCACTGACGGTCAACCACCAGATTAGAGCAACTTTGACAAGGACCAAATTGTAATGGGTAGACGACTGGATCAGAGTAACTCCAAAATGCAGCTCTTGTGGGATGTTCCCGGTCTTCAGTGGTCAGGGCCAATCAAAAGAGGTCCAAGGAAGGAAAACCAGCAAAATGGCAACAGGTTCATGGGCGGCCAAGGCTCATCTATGCATATGGGGAAGCAAAGGCTGAACTGTGTAGTCTAGTCCAATAGAAGAGCTACTGTACCTGAAATTGCTAAAAAAATTAATGCTGGTTCAGACGGAAAGGTGTCAGAACACACAGTGCATCACAGTTTGTTGCACGTGGGGCTGCGTAATCGCAGATTGGTCAGGCTTTCCATGCTGACACATGGCCACAGCCAAACGTGCCTACAATGGGCACGTGAGCATCAGAACTGGACCATAGAGAAATGGAAGAAGTGGCCAGGTCTGATTAAGTAAAAAGTGGTTGAATAACACAACATGTTTAAGATGTTGACTTGGCCTCCATATTCTCCAGATCGCAATCCAACCATACGAATGTGGGATGTGCTAAAAAACAAAAAAAAACTATTCCATTCCATGGAGGCTTCACCTCGCAGCTTAAAGGATCTGCTACTTACGGCTTGGTGCCAGATACCACAGCATACCTTCAAAATCTAATGGAGTCCATGCTTCAACGGCGTATGGTATGTGGCCATTATGTTATGGCTAATCGAGATAGATATATATATCAAAACAGTTGCGCAGGTGTTGGCCTAAAAGGGAGCAGAGGGAGCACTGGTGGACTAAGCACAATATTAAATCACCACAAGATCATGGTTATCACCTATATTTGGCAGAAAAGTCTTTTACGTATGTTCCCCTTTCTGATTTGGTTTCTCTTTGTTGGTGGGGCCTCACTTTCCCTGAGCAGAGTGAGGGATGACGCTGTACAGATACTTCCACCTAGCCTATTAGGTTACAGACAACAGCGATCAGACAAGGTTTTCTGTCCCTTTCAATCACTATTTCCTCTGGTGGACTTGAGTCAATGGACTATGTAGGTGCTCCATAGATTTTCAACTGGTAGATGGTGGTCTGGTGTCTACAGACACCTCCAAGCATCCTGCAACATAACAGTCACAGAATTGGAGGGTTCAATACTGATTATTCAAATTAGAAAACCTCTGTGACTACTGTCCCCCTCCCAACTGACATAAAGTTTATGGAACATGGACATTGCTCAGAAAATTTCAGAAGACGCATTTCTTACACGCCCCTGGCAGTAACACATTGCAACCAATTAGAATCAGTGCTTCTGAATTGGCAGCAGAAAATCGGAAACTTGATTGGTTACTGTTACTGCCACTGAATATATTATCCCTAGCCTCGGGCGTTGTATTTATTGCCTAACCCATGCCTTTCTTATCTTCAGAAGGTTCTACGAGATGACACACAAACCTAATCTTTCTCTCACCTAGTAATGTCCCAGTGACAGGTATGTGAGTAATGCTTGTTCAGCCACCTACTAAGCATGACAAATCTCAGCACCGGCAAGGTGTTTCAACACAGCCCTGTGTACACAATCTAATGTCAGCTAGTGGGAGAGCAGAGACCTGTCCACAGGATATAACAAAGACTACAGTGTTACTTTTAAAGCTGAACACCGAGATAAGAAAAATATTGTCTGAATACATTCATCATGTGTACTCTCTTGATGTGCTTTGTGTATTTCTTCCAGATCTGCATAGCACTCTAGTGTGAGACTTTACCTCTGTAATAAAGACCGGTCACTGCTGCTCTCTCTACTTGTGCAAGGTGACTGGTCTTGTCTCCGCCCTCCTCTCCAGTTCTCTGCAGGGAGCTTGTATGGGATGGGCCCCTCCCACAGCTCTGCTCAATGTGCAGGCTATGTACAGCTCAGTGATGATGTCACTGCTAGTTTTACAAGGTAATCTCTAGGTTTGCAAAGGCAGTTGGTGCACACATATATTAGATTTATACTGTTTGTGGCTATTGGGGAATTTTTTAACCACTTCCCACGTGTAGGACATACCCGTACTTCCTTGGGTTGCAGTGGTTATACTGGGCCATGTTTGCAGCTGCAGTCATGACCCCAGTATCAATGCTTTCAGCCGGCGTTGCTGAATCTTATAACAGCTATGTAGAGCCACTAGATTGCTTTTACATGGAGGGAAGGGCCCCACCACCACCACTTTCCCCTTCCTTTCCAAGGTCTCCTTTCCTCTTTCCACCCCCTTACCATAGATGCAGAAGGAATGGAAGTTCCCCAATCATCTCTATGGTGTATAAAACCAGAAGTGATGAGGATTTTGTCACTTCCGGTTTCGGTTTGTTGTTTACAAGCCATTGCCGCCTTGTACCAGCACCTGATCAATCTGATTTTGGTTTGATCAGATGCTTTTAAGGGCAGAGAAGATATCTGGGGTCTAGTAGACCCCAGATGTCTCAGTAAAGAGTACCTGTCACTGTACGTCCTGTCAAAAGGGATGTTCATCCCTTGTGATAGCAATAAAATCGATTTTTAAAAAATGGAAAGAAAAGTGAGAAAAAAAAATTAAATAAAGTGAAAGGAATTTTAAAGCGACCCCTCCTCTCCGTACTCCTGTGCAATAGCAAATGCATACATAGGTTGCCAATGCATATGTAAATGATGTTCACACCAAACATGTGAGGAATCACAGAAAACTTTATAGCAAGAGCAATAACTCTAGCACCATGTAAAACAGCACGCATCACACTGTTAACCCTTTGATCACCCAGATATTAACCCCTTCCTTCTCAGTGTCATTAGTACAGTGTCAGTGCTTTTTATTAGCACTGATCACTGTATTAGTGTAATTGAGATGTCAGTGGCAGTTAGTCAGTAAACCCCCCCCCCTCCCCCGTGTCAGAATGCCCACCAAAGTTCTGCTATAAGTCGCTGATCGCTGCCATTATTAGTATAAAGAAAAAAAAAATTTGAGTATCTATACCGCCATTTGTAGATGCTATAACGTTCACATAAACCAACTGATTTACATGTATTGGGATTTTTTATAGCAAAGACATGGAGAAGAATATATTTTGGCCTACATTTATGAAGAAATGTGATTTTGTTTTTACATTTTTGTACTGGATTAGTTTTATAACAATAAGTCAAAAATATTGTGTTTTTTTCAAAATTGTCAGATTTGTTTGTTTATAGGGCAATCAAAAACAATGCAGAGGAATAAAATACCACCAAAAGAAAGAAAGCTCTATTTGTGAGAAAAAGGACATAAATTTAATTTATGTACAGCGTTGCATGACCACGCAATTGTCAGTTAAAGTAACATAGCACCGTATCGCAAAAAATGGCCTGGTCAGGAAGGGGGGTAAATCCTCTGGAGGGCAAAGAGTTAAAGAAGGTCTGGTAGAAAAATTTAAAGTGAAGAGCCACCACCAAGCTGAAGAGGGCTAGCAAGAGCGCCACCACCAAGCTGAAGAGGGCTAGCAAGAGCGCCACCACCAAGCTGAATAAGAGGGCTAGCAAGAGTGCCACCACCAAGCTGAAGAGGGCTAGCAAGAGTGCCACCACCAAGCTGAAGAGGGCTAGCAAGAGAGCCACCACCAAGCTAAAGAGGGCTAGAAACAGCTGCCTAGGGCACAGAAGATTTGAAGAGGTCAACATTTTGGGAAACAATTAAACTGATGCACTTAGTTCCGCTTTAAGATCATTAAACTAAAGCAACCAATCTAATAGTATCTTGAACTGTTGAACTGTTGTGACTTTAACAGACTGAATTCTGGTTGGTTGTTTAGAGTAGCTTAACCCAAAGCGGAACTAAACTCTCCTATCCTTTTCAGCCAAGGAAGCTGCTATCTTAGCCTCTGTTTGTCCAACTGTCATGGTGCTGCCCATGTGATCAGTTATGACACCAGACATTCGATGGTTTGGTTGGAAGCATAGGCAAATATGACAGTTAGCATTCCCAGCATGCCCGGAATGTAACTGTTTTCTTTTTAACTGTTAAATTGATGGGTTTAGTTCCCCTTTAAGTCCCCAGTCACATTGGGTGCGACTGGGCACACAATTTGCATGCTATGCGACTTGCAAATCGCATTCCAAGTTGCACCCTATAGTCCGCAATTACAGCGGTCATATCGGTGCGGTTCAGACTTGCTCGGAGCCCCACCGATTGCAAAAGTAGCACATACATTACTTTTGGCGCAATTTGCATAGACATCCGTGTCAGATGTCTTGCAAATTGCACCTGAAATCGGTGGGTCCCCCAACTTTGAAATCGTGCGACTTCACTGTAAATCGTACGATTTCAAAGTCGGGCTTGATGTGACTGGGGTGTAAAGCAGAGCTGAACGCATGTGAATAATAACTGTCACAGTTGCTTGTGCTCTCAACTGAACTGTGTAGCCATCGAATGGCTGGTGTCATAAATGATCACCATAGCAGTTGCAGATCAAACAAAGATGGCAATTTCCTTTCCTGTAAAGGACAGGAGGGTTTTGTTCCGCTTTGAGAACTCTTTATGACATTAGACGAATGTTGTTTTCTAACATGGGTCTGCAGGTCACAGTTACATATAGACATCATGTAATATAAAACAGATTACATACTCCTCTTGGGCGAACATGACTCCAGACAGGAAGCCTCATTTTTGAAATTATTATCATTGCCATAGCAGCCACCGTATATGAACAGCTCACACTTCATCGTCAACAAGTTGTAAGCGTAACGCTTTATGTATCCGCGGCATGGCCCTGGCTCCACCTCCATCCTGCATGGCTTGGGGACTTCTGAGGACAAAAAAAGACAAAAAAAAAACAGTTAACGGATGTATCTACCAATCTACACAGACAAAAGAGTTGCGCTGGGGTACAGCATGAAAACAAATTGTATGTTCAGTATAAGGACTGTAATTTGCATAAAAGGCTAAAGCAAGAGTAGTACTTCTTTAGAAAATTTTCGTTTTAAGAACGTTCGCTTGATTTTCCAATCGTTAGTTGGGTCGATTCGGCATTTGTTTAGACCACGTTGACGAAAAAAAATTTGAAGGAGCAGGACGGAGAATTTTTGGCAAACGCACAAGTTTCTAACCGTAAATGTGGTTTTCCTTCAGTAACATCCATATGTTCCAAAGGAGTGTGTTAACCACTTCAAGTCCGGACACTTTCACCCCCTTCCTGTCCAGGCCAATTTTCAGCTTTCAGTGCTATCACACTTTGAATGACAATTGCGCGGTCATGCAACACTGTACCCATTTGAATTTTTTAGCATTTTTTTGAGACAAATAAAGCTTTATTTTGGTGGCATTTATTCACCACTGGGATTTTTATTTTTTTGCTATGTAAATGAAAAAGTCCAAAAATTTTGAAAAAAAAGTGTTTTTCTTATAAAATGTTGCAAATAAATAATATTTCATCATAAATCTTGGCCAAAATGTATTCCGTTCTCTTATAGTAAAAAAAAATAACCCAAATTAGTTTATAACCAAAAATTATAATTTTTTACATTTTTCTTTTTTTTTTATATTATTATGTTTTTTTGTTTTTTTTTTTACATTCTGTCACCCTAGCAGTACAGTGTCACCATGGTGACACTGTACTGTTTGTGGGGGGTGATGAAGTTTTTTGGTTTTTTTTTACACTGATTGCTTTTACACCCATAAAAGCTGTAAAAGCACTAATTTCTCCTTCTCTCTGGCTGCATTCTTGCAGCCATTGAGAACTACTGTGTGAGCTGTGATTGGTCACAGCTTGTCACATGGTACAAGGCTGTTGTGAATAGCCTTGTACCATGTGACCTCTGTGATCATTCACAGATTTCACACATAGTAAGCAATGATGTCAGAAGTGACATCTTGCTTACTACTCTGCATGTGATCACTGATTGGCCAATCAGTGATCACATGATCGGGACCTCGCACAGAGGTCCTGTATGACGATCAGTGTTCCACTGGGTCCGGAGGACACAGTGGGCACCGGATCGCGGTGCTGCACACTCCCAGAGAGCGCACACAAGCAGACGATGGGGAGGCCATTTATAAACGGCCACCCGACCCTGCACTGCCACCGTCCGGCCGTTTATATACAACGGCCGGAAGGGAGGTGGTTAAAAACAAACAAAATGGTGGCGTACTTCTGAACAACATTCATTAAGTCATTGAATTGCTAAGAATCTAAGTCTACTAGTGTACTGGACTTCTTCAGGTATGTTAGGCCCACAAAAGTTGCAAAGGGGCCCATGGGGTTGTGAACCTCTGGAACCTCCTTTCAGTTTAGGCCTAACTTAAAAGCATAAATCACCTTTACTTAAAATAAAAAAACTTCCTATGCAGATAAAGGGCTTCTCTAGATAAAAACAAACTGTGCAGCTCTGACCAAACGTGAATAATGCCCTTACTATAGGTGTAGGCCATTTAAATACCTCATGAAGCCTGACTGGAAAACTCCCATCCTGCCTTGTTGCTAGGTTGTTCCTAAGAGCTGCTAACCCATTAATGTCCCATCATGTTCCATTATTGGAACATAGTGATGTGGGAATTTATTTATATTTATTTCGGGTACTTACATAGCGCCATCAATTTATGCAGCACTTTACAAATATATTGTACATTCACATCAGTCCCTAATCCTCGAGGGGTTAAACATCTAGAGCGATCAAAGAGTTAATTGTGTGCCTAGCCAGTGTTTTTGTGTACACAGTGTTCTGTTTTTACTAGGCAATCTGCTAGATTTTATTCCCTGAATAAAATCTAGCACATGGCCGTTGTCATAACACAGCTCTGCTTTGTTTACATAGGCAGAGCTGTGTTCCGTCAGTTTCCTAGGTGACCAGCAGGTGCTGAGGCTCATCCATTGGCACAGCAGAAGCGGCGCTCCGGCGGCAGTGTCGTTAGTTCAAAATGACGTTTGTTTACATGATTTTGTACAGAACCTCCGCCCTGTAGCAGTAAATCTGCTATAAGGCGGACGGCAAGTGGTTAACCACTTGCCTACCGGGCACTTCTACCCCCTTCCTGCCCAGGCCAATTTTCAGCTTGTAGCGCTGTCGCACTTTGAATGACAGTTGCGCGGTCATGCAAAATTGTACCCATATGAAATTTTTATTCACACAAATAGAGCTTTCTTTTGGTGGTATTTAATCGTCGCTGAGTGTTTTATTTTTTTGTGCTATAAACAAAAAAAGAACAAAAATTTGGAAAAAAAAAGTTTCTTTGTTTCTATTATAAAATTTTGCAAACAGGTAATTTTTCTCCATCACTGATGTGCGTTGATGAGGCTGCACAGATAGGCAGCACTGATGAGGTGGCATGGGTGGGCAGCACTGATGAGCACTGATGAGGTGGCATGGGTGGGCAGCACTGATGGGCACTGATGAGGTGGCATGGATGGGCAGCACTGATGGGCACTGATAGGAGGCACTGATAGGTGGCACTGATGATGCTGCACTGATAGGCGGCACTGATAGGCAGCACTGATGGGCTTTGACAGCTTGAGGAAAGTGCAGCTGATAACCGGCAACTGTATTTACCCGGTGATCTGCTTTGTCATTGGACACAGCAGATCATGTGGTAAAAGGCCGCCGTGATTGGCCGTTTACCATATCACTCGATCACCAGGGCGTCGGGTGCACACCGCTGGGGGCGTGTTCTGGAATGGGTCCATGGACCTCATCCCAGGACTAGACAACCGGGCTGTAGCCATCCTTTGGCTATAGCACGGTTGGGAACTGGTTAAAGTACCATTCAGCTCCAGTTTGTAAACGATGAACACAGATCCTAATGGGAGTGCTGATTGCCACTTTAAACAAGCTGCTAGCAGGTTTTAGCACTTCTTGAAGCTTGTTGAAATCCTGCTGAAGCCTGCTTGAAGTGGTAATCGGCACTCCCATTAGGAGCTGTTTTTAACATTTACAAACTGGAGCTGAAAGCTCTGCAAATGCTTTGTCAATGTTTGCTGTTCACATTACTTTTATAAAAGCCAAAGCCCATGTGAAATAGGCCCCAAAACGCAGAATCTGTGCAGCCACTGATACCTCCCTGCTGTTTTTATTTTTTTTTTGCTGCTAAAAGCATTGCTACATAACAGTGCCCAGCGCGCTCATCTGATTGGCCCAATTCATATTATTTATGCTGCATACAGGTGTACGCAGAACTAGACCCTTCACACATTTGTACGCAGCGTTTTTTTTTACATCCCATGTGACTGATGCGTTTGTAACAATGCAAGCAAAGCAAATGGAATCAAATAATTCTATAATGATATTGCTGAGAAAGACAGAAGAGATAACGTGCCTAGTTACTGCTGGATGGGAGGTGAACATAACTCTGCAGAAGTGAGGAGAAGTTTGACCTTGTCAGTAAGTTGTCATGTACTGGTGAGAAATCTCTCCAGACAGATACCATCCATCACTGCCTGAGGCTTTCTGCTGCTGGTACTTAGTGAGCCCAGATAAGACATAAGGTTTTCATCTGCATGCTTCCCGCGGGCATTGACATGAGAGATTACATCCTGCCTGTTCTGTATATGGAGCGCTACTCCGACCCCTCTGTAATGGTAGACTTCAATGAGAACAAAGACTAAACTTTCAGAACACATCGATCATGTGCTGAAGCCGATTGGCTGCATGCGCTGATCGAATGTAAAATGTTCAACAACCATGTTTGAGAGAAGCTGATCAGTAGATTGACTTCTCTCAAGCAGGATCAGCCATAGATAGACTGAAATTTGGCTGGTTCTTGCTGAACCGGCCGATTTTCGATCCATCTATGACCAGCTTTAGATGTAGCCACTGTGGAGTGTCCATTGGTGCCAGTTATCAAAGCACAATAGCCAGAACTGAAGATTCATTCATTGACGTTGTATAGCATGGAAGGAAGAATATCCTACAGGCTGAATGAAAACAAACTTTTAACAACAAAGCAAATGGAACAATAAGCTCCCACCTCACTGACAACAACCTCCTCGATCCACTACAGTCTGGCTTCCGTCCCCTACACTCCACCGAAACCGCCCTACTCAAAATCACCAATGACCTGCTAACCGCCAAAGCTAATGGCCACTACTCAGTCCTCCTACTCCTCGACCTTTCTGCGGCCTTTGACACAGTTGACCACCCCCTCCTTAATAAACTACACTCCCTTGGAATCAGAGACTCTCTCCTGGCTCTCCTCCTATCTATCCCAACGCTCCTTCAGCGTTACCTATAATGCTACCACCTACCCCTCTCTCCCCCTTTCTGTTGGGGTCCCCCAAGGCTCTGTCCTCGGGCCCCTTCTCTTCTCCATCTACACCTCCTCCCTCGGCAAACTGATACACTCCCACGGCTTCAACTATCACCTCTACGCCGATGACATGTAAATTTACCTCTCCACCCCTCATCTCACCCCTTCAGTCTCTGCCCGTATCACCCACCTACTGAACGACATATCAGACTGGATGTTGTTCCATTTCCTCAAATTGAACCTTTCCAAAACCGAGCTCCTAATTTTCCCCCCAGCCCGTGCCCCCCCCCCCCCCCCATCCTCTCCATCACGACCAACAACGCCACCATCAGTCCCACCCCGCAAGTCAAAGTCCTAGGTGTCACTCTAGACTCAAACCTGTCCTTCCAACCCCATGCCCAATTGCTGGGAAACTCTTGCAGGCTCCACCTCCGCAACATCTCCAAAATACGTTCGTTCCTAACCCCAGACACTACTAAACTACTCATTCACTCCCTTATTATCTCACGCCTGGACTACTGCAACTCCCTTCTCACCGGCCTACCCCAAACACAGGCTATCCCCGCTTCAGTCTATCCTGAACTCAGCGGCCAGACTCATCCACCTTACCAACCGCTCCACTTCTGCCACCCCCTTCTGTCATTCCCTCCACTGGCTTCCGATTGCCCAACGCATAAAATTCAAACTACTAACATTGACATATAAAGCCATTCATAACGCTGCCCCAAACTACCTCACCAACCTGATACCCAAATACCACCCAACCCGTACTCTTCACTCCTCACAAGACCTCCTACTTTCTAGCTCCCTGGTCTCCTCCTCCCACTCCTGAATGTAGGACTTCCCCCATCCTCTGGAACTCACTACTCCAATCCATCAGACTGTCACCTACCCTCCTCACCTTTAGGCGCACCCTGAAAACCCATCTCTTCAGGGAAGCCTACCCCACCCTCACCTAACAGCCGATTTCCTCCACTCCTCCTACCACTCCATCCCCCACAGTTACTTCCTCCTGTACCACTATCCCCTCCCTCCTAGATTGTAAGCCCGAAAGAGCAGGGCCCTCGAACCCCTCGTGTATTGTTTTGTTACTGTATTGTCTCATGTACTGTCCCCCACTATAATGTACAGCGCTGAGCAAACCTTTTGGCACTATATAAATACTGTATAATAGTAATAATAACATAAATCAAGGAAGCACATCCTACCTTCTTAGTCCATTAACTTTTCATCCAGGCAATGCGCTAGTACAGCAGTTCTCAAACACTGAGCCATGGCAGCTAGTTTCAGATCCCCTAACTCCTAAAGTGCCTCCTAAATCCCATAGTGCCACCCAACCTTCCATAGTGGCCCACAATGCCCCTCAACCTCTCATAGAGCCCCCAGGAACCTCAGGAGTCCTCAGTCCCCACAAGGCCCCCTAACTGGCTGCAGAGCTTCCAACCCTTTCATAGTGCCCTCAACAGTGTCCCTAGTGCCCTCCAGTCTACCCCATTGCCACTTGAAAACTTCCAACCTCCTGGAGAATCCCCCATCCTCCTCCAGAGATCCCATCCCCCACAAAGCTTTTATCACAAATCAAAGAAGCAAATCCAACCAACTTAGTCCATTCACATTTCATCCGGACATTGCTCTAGTACAGTGGTTCTCAACCACTGGGCCATGGTAACTAGTTGTACATCCCTTAACCTCCTACAGTGCCACCCAAACCCTTTAGTGCCACCCAACCTTCCATAGTGACCCACAGTTCCCCTCAAACTCTCACAGAGCCCCCAGGCTCCCCAAGAGCCCTCAGTCCCCATAGTGCCCCTTAGCTTGCTTCATAGCCTCTAACCCCCTCATAGTGTCCCCAACAGTGTCCCACAGTGCTTCAAGCCCCCCAGTGCCCTCCAGTCTCCCACATTGCCTCTGCAAAACCCTCCATCTTCTGGAGATACCAACAGCCCCCTCCACAGTTGTTCTCAGCTCCCTCTAGAAACCTCATCCTTTACTGGGCAGCCAAGTCTGCTGCAGAGTCCCCTAACCCCTGTCCAGAACCTTCATCCCTCACAGTGACACTCAGCCTTATCAGGAGCCTTCCAGAATTTTAATACATATTTTGTAAACTTTAGTAGTTTTTACTGTTGGGGCATGAAAGGGTTTGCAAACATTTACCAGGCCCTGATGCTCTAGTACACTCATTCAACTCATTTGTCAATTAGATGGTGATCCGAGAACCCCAGGTCTATGATGCTGTAGAAATTCACAAACACACTTATTGCAGACTCCCTGCTGGCACACGCCTAGTCTTCAGCCAGAGTCAAATTTATCTTGGAAGGCTGAAATTAGTTGTGTTACAGGCAGCAGGGAGAAGAAGTTACACAGTACAGGTCTCAAGAAGTACATGCCCAGTGATCCTGCGAAGTGTTCTATGGATTCTGACTGCGGTGGATTGCAAAGAACTCAAATTAATGTATGCTGATTAAACCTCTTGGTTTTAGGATGGTTACAGTCATTTCTAAATATCATTAGCAGTTCAATTTTTGGTTTCAATTGTTGCTTAGGATTATGTATAAAAAAATATGGAACACCCGTCAAGAAGACAAAGTGGCATGCATAATAAAATAATTGCTCTGAGTTCTGTGTATTTTCCTGCAACCAAAATCCACCTGCACCTAGCAGGGTCACTGGAAGTTTCTAAAGCCACTGCTATGTAACTTTGTCACCTTTCACTATCACCAGTTACATTAAAGCTGGCCACACTAGGAGTGGATTTTTCCCGGAGATCTGAGTGATCTAGGGGTCAGTCAGTCCCCTCCCGCCCCTCATTCTTTTACTGAAAATCATAGGAGGCTGTTGGAATATTGTCAGCCAAACAGCACTTGAATCCAATGAGATGCAGCCGCTGTTTGGGCATTTTGACAGCTGGCAGAGGCAGAGGCTGTCAAAATGCAACATCCCAGCATGGGGGGGGGGGGGGGTTCATTCATCTGTGCTGTTTAGCATTGATGGAGAAACCTATATGTGTATGGCCAGCTTTAACTTCCAAAAGGTATGAATCTGATTGGTTGACTATGGGTGTGTTCGGGACTCCCCACCCCAGATCATAAACAGGGGTTCTCAGATATACAGATTCCCAACATAAGGACCAGGGTGGCTCATGCACAACAATTATACCTGGATAAAAAACTAAGGCAAGTAGGCCAGTGCTCCTTGGTGGCCATTTTTTTTGTATTTACAGCAATCAAAATCTGAAATACCAGTTTTGGAGTGGACCAACCCTTACACTCAGTTTTCCAGTCCAGTAATGTGAACCTAACAGCTTGTAAACCTCCCACGCCAAAAACGCTGCCCGCCCCATTCATTATTGTCATAGCAGCTAACAGAAGTTTTGAAATAACTTGTAAGATAACTGCTGCTTTGGGTAAGTATTTATAAAGCGCCAATAGTTCACTGCTGCTTTACAAAGGGGGACAGAACATGTGACAGAACAACAACAATACAATGCCATGAGGGGATCGAGGGCCCTGTCTTGTGTGATCATATGCCACGGGATGGATTACGTGATCTCTGCTGAAGATGAATGTTCAGAGTTCAGGTAGAGCCACTGACTGGCCAATGATTCCTTTAAGCTAAGATGGAAGGAGTGATGCCTAGATATTTGGTCACATGATCAGTTGACTTAGGTCAATTTCAGGACTGCTGTCATATTTTATGATTGTTTGATTGCTCCTGTGGACAGGTGTCTTTCATACAGGTAACAAAATGAGATTAGCAGCACTGCCTTTAAAAGACTGCTTCTAATCTCAGCTTGTTACCTGTATGAAAGACACCTGGTAGCCAGAAATCCTGCTGAATGATAGGGGATCAAATACTTATTTCCCCCATGAACATGCAAATCAGTGCATCATTTGTTAGACATGCATTTCTTTTGAATTTTTTGTGGCTATTCTGTCTCTCAGTGTTACAATACACCGACCATTAATTTTTAGACTGATCATTTCTTTGTGAGTGGGCAAACATTAAAAATCAGCAGGGGATCAAATACTTATTTAACCTTCACTGTATGTATATATATATATATATATATATATATATATATACACACACTTTGTATATATAGACATTTTGGATGCATGCAATAAGAACTCACTTTTGATTTTCCAGCATGTTTTCTCACAGTCCTCCACCGTTTCAAAATTGTTGGCATTTCCGTCACAGCCTCCATAGAGGAACTCTTCGCATGTCTGTGTGTACCGGTCATAATAATACTGGGGGAGGAGAGCCCGGCAGTTCCCTTCATCTCGTGGCAGAAGACATGCGGTGATGTTACCTGCAATACAATCATAGCTTGTTAGAGGTCAAAGTACGCATACAGCTCAAAATTGCACATTCTCAAATACAAAGGTACTGATATATCCAACCTTCTGCAAATATACAGTGTGTGTATGTGTATATAGATATATATATATATACATATACATACACACACACATTTTTCTTTTCCCCCATGAATGGTAAGATGTGGGTGCAGCAAGTGTTAGGGGTACCCCCAAGCTAAAATCCCCACCAATTAGCTGTTTGAATAGCTCTGGAAAGCAGTTGCTAAGTACTTTGATTTGGAGCTACTGTACTTTTCCAAGTTGGCCATACGTCAGTAGAATTTTGTTTGAACATCCATATGGAAATTCTGAAAAAAAATCCTTCCTCCATTTTTTTTAACTTGCCGTCACTGAGTCAACTTGTTCAAAAGCCCTTAAAATGTCTCCTAGACAAGCCGCTGAATGGAATCCCAGACAGGTTTCTTTTGAGCCTAGAGCATTACAATATGTATCATTATTAAATTATTATTGTATAGGATTTATATAGCGCCAACAGCGCTTTATAAAAGAGTTGAACTGGATGGTGCCTATTTATCAACCAGACTATGTAATTTTGTAACCTCTTCCCATGCTCACGTCCAGGACTTCTCCCGAGCCTCTCCCACCCTCTGGAACTCCCTACCCCAATCTGTTTCGACTATCTCCTACTCTGTTCACTATTAGACGGTCCCTGAAAACTCATCTCTTCAGACAGGCCTATCCTGCCTCCACCTAACAGCTATACTTTTATTTTCTCATCCCCCGCAGTTATTACCTTTAGTATCACTTGACCCTCCCTTTTAGATTGTAAACTTTAAAGTGGTTGTAAAGGCTGAAGGTTATTTACCTTCATGCAATCTATGCATGAAGATAAAAAACCTTCTGTGTGTGTGGAAGCTCCCCCAGCCCCCTCAGTACTTACCTGAACCTTAAGGCGATCCAGCAATGTGCATGACGGCCTCTGCTGTCCCTGGTTTCTGCCTCCTCATTGGCTGAGGCAGCAAGCAGGAGCCATTGGCTATCAATCACAGACACTCAGCCAATGAGGAGAGAGGGGCTGGGGCCAAGCCACAGCTCCTTTTGTGAATGGACACACGGGAGCAGCAGACGCCCCCATAGCAAGCTGCTTGTTGCAGGGAAATCCGACAGGAGGGAGGGGCCAGGAGAGCCTGCGGGGGAGCTGAGAAGTGGAAATTTAGGCTGCTCTGTGCAAAACCACTGTGCAGGTAAATATAGACATGTTTGGTATTTTTTTAAAAAAATGAACCCTTAGAATCGCTTTAATGAGCAGGGCCCTCTGATTCCTTCTGTATTGAATTGTATTGTAACTGTATTGTCTGCCCTCATGTCGTAAAGCGCTGAATAAACTGTTGACATCTTATAAATCTACAATAATAATAATACATTCTCTTAGCACAAGTCATAAAATCAAGAGTCTCTAGTAGATGATCCATAATGTGCTGTATAACACATGTGCACATTGAGTTAAAGCAGTTGTAAAGGCTCAAGGGTTTTTACCTTCATGCATTTTATGTAGAAGCTAAAAAAAAACCTTCTCTGTGCAGCATCTGTTCCCACCCAACCCCCCTAATACCTAAGCACCCTCTAGATCCAGCGATGTGCACTGGAGTCTTGGCTATCCCGGGACTCCCTCTTCTCATTGGCTGAGACTGCAGTCAATCACAGCCTATGAGACAAGAGGGGGCTCGTGTGTGAATGGACACATGGAACAGCGGGTGCCCCGATAGCAAGTGGCTTGCTGTGGGGGCACCCGACAGGAGGAAGAGGCCAGGAGAACCTGTGGAGGAAGAGGAAGATCCGGACTGCTTTGTGAAAACCCACTGCACACAGCAGGTAAGTATAACATGTTTGCTATTTTTTAGAAAAAAATAACAATTAAGCCTTTAGCATCGCTTTAGATCAATGGTTCTCAACCTGTGGGTCGCGACCCCTTTGGGGTTCGAACAACCATTTCACAGGGGTCTCCTAAGACCATCGGAAAAACACATATTTCCGATGGTCTTCGGAACCGAGACACCGTTCCTCTATCAGTCTCCAGGCGGGTCCGCCCACATGCAGATACATCCACATTTCCCTGGACCGCGATGTGTGCGGGGGGGATGACATGCCGCCCCTGTCATCTGGCCACATCCTCGGGATCACTCAACGGCTCCGCCTCCTCGCCAGTGATTGGCCGCCGGAACTGTAGCTCAGGAGAGGCACACAGGCGGCCAATCACCGGCGAGGAGGTGGAGCTTGGAGAGGAGGAGCCGAGAGCAGCAGCGCGAAGATCAAAAAGATCGAGCGAGGGAGCGGCCGGAGAAGGAAGACAACTGACAGGTAAGCATCTGTAGCGTGCAGATGGTGCTGCTGCAGCCAGGTATGCTGGCTGTAGATGGGAGAGGGAGGGAGTGAGCCCAGGCTGGAGCAGGAGTCAGCAAGGTAAGTATCATTGGTGTCAGTAGGAGGAATAGTGCCCCATCATTGGTGTCATTAATACCAATGATGGGGCACTATTCTTCCCACTGACACCAATGATGGGGCACTATTTCCCCCCCCCCCCACTGACACCAACGATGGGGAACTATTCCTCCCCCCACTGACACCAACGATGGGGCACTGTTCCTCCCCCCACTGACACCAACGATGGGGCACTGTTCCTCCCCCCACTGACACCAACGATGGGGCACTATCCCCCCCCCCAACTGACACCAATGATGGGGCACTATCCCCCCCCCCACTGACACCAACGATGGGGCACTATTCCTCCCACTGACACCAACAATGTGGCACTATTCCTCCCACTGATACCAATGATGGGGCACTATTCCTCCCACTGACACCAATGATGGGGCACTATTCCTCCCACTGATACCAATGATGGGGCACTATTCCTCCCACTGACACCAATGATGGGGCACTATTCCTCCCACTGACACCAACAATGTGGCACTATTCCTCCCACTGACACCAACAATGTGGCACTATTCTCCCACTGATACCAATGATGGGACACTATTCCTTCCACTGACATCAGTGATGTGGCACTACTCCTCCCACTGACACCAACAATGTGGCACTATTCCTCCCACTGATACCAATGATGATGGGGCACTACTCCTCCCACTGATACCAATGATAGGACACTATTCCTCCCACTGACACCAATGATGGGGCACTATTCCTCCCACTGACATCAGTGATGTGGCACTATTCCTCCCACTGATACCAATGATGGGACACTATTCCTCCCACTGACATCAGTGATGTGGCACTATTCCTCCCACTGACACCAATGATGGGGCACTATTACCTCCCACTGACACCAACAATGTGGCACTATTCCTCCCACTGATACCAATGATGGGACACTATTCCTCCCACTGACATCAGTGATGTGGCACTATTCCTCCCACTGACACCAACAATGTGGCACTATTCCTCCCACTGATACCAATGATGGGGCACTATTCCTCCCACTGACACCAATGATGGGGCACTATTCCTCCCACTGACACCAATGATGGGGCACTATTCCTTCCACTGATACCAATGATGGGACACTATTCCTCCCACTGACACCAATGACGTGGCACTACTCCTCCCACTGCAAAATTACAGTTATGAAGTAGCAACGAAAATAATTTTATGGTTGGGGGTCACCACAACATGAGGAACTGTATTAAAGGGTCGCGGCATTAGGAAGGTTGAGATCCACTGCTCTATATGATCATTGAGGGCTTTTGTCCACGGTCACAAAGATCTGTCCTGCTCTTCAAAGATAAATCTTTCCACGTAACATCACAATATCCTAAGTACATGCCAAAATGAATTCCCTGCTCTAACTACCAGATGTCCACAAATGTACTGTTTTCCACTAAAAAGTCTTACTGTATCCCAACTGAAAAACAAACTATTTAGCATTCAAAAAACTCCACCTAAAAAGTTCTGAAAAAGTTTAATTTTTTTTTTGTCTTGAATCAATTATCCCACCCTTCCCCCCTGAGCATTGCACAGCATTCCGAGATAGGAATGTGTGTCCAAACATATTCTATTTACTCGACTCCCTGCACAGCAAAGAAGACAGAGTTACGATATGCTTTGGATTATGGGAAAAAAAAATACCTGCAACTTGCAGAAACTTGTCCACACACTGTGCAGATCACAAACAAACCTTCAATAAAAATGCACAGTGTGCCAGATCTCGTTCTCAAATATTATTCTCACTATCCGCATACGATGAGAATATCTGATGAATTATCACCTTTTCTTTTTCTTTTGCTTGCTGGTCTCATATAGTCTTCTGAATAGGTTACTAAAGTTATGGAAATTCTCATAAAACAGAAATCATTGGGGAGATTTACTAAAACTGGAGAGAGCAGAATCTGGTGCAGCTGTGCATGGCAGCCAATCAGCATCTAACTTCAGCTTGTTGAATTAAGCTTTGACAATAAAACCTGGAAGCTGATTGGTCACTATGCAGAGCCACACCAGATTTTGTATGCATCAATTTTAGTAAATCTACTCCAAAACAATTTCAGAAAGTATGTAATGTATTGTAAAGTATTCTTTCCAGTGTGTGCAGGAACTCCCCCCTTTTGAGTCACCCCCTTTTCTCGGTCACCTACCCCCCTCCGAGCACTGCCCCTTGGTTCCACCCCCTACCCACCCCCCAGTATCACACTATTTAGAGAGTATAGAACCAAGTATCATTATTGTGGTGTTAAGTAATTTGTATGAAATGTGTTAATGATAACAAGAAAAGCAGTAAAATAGACCCCTGCGGCCAGCAACAATAGACTCCCCCCAAAACCACAGACCCCTCCACAACAATAGATCACACCCACAACAATATAACCCTGCACAACAATAAACTCCCCCCAAAAAAATCACCCCAGCAACATTGGATCGATAGACCACCAGCAGCAACAATAGATCTCCTAGCAGCCAGGATCAATAGACCCTCCAACAGCTAGTTTCAATAGATCCCCTCCCTCAACAGTAGATCCCTCCCAGCAACAACTGACCCCCTCAAGCAGAAATATATCCTCCACCAGCAACAATAGATCCCCAGCAGCCAGCATCAATAGACCCTCCAGCAGCTAGCATCGATGGATCCCCTCCCTCAGCAGTAGATCCATACCAGCAACAACTGACCCCCTCAAGCAGAAATATATCCTCCACCAGCAACAATAGATCCCCAGCAGCATCAATAACCCCTCCAGCAGCTAGCATCAGTAGATCCCTTCTCTCAACAGTAGATCCCTTCCAGCAACAACTGACTCCCACAGCAAAAATATACCCCCCACCAGCAAAAATATACCCCCCAGCAGCAGCATCAATAGACCCTTCAGCAGCTAGCATCAATAGATCCCTTCCCTCAACAGTAGATCCCTCCCAGCAACAACTGGACCCCCTCAAGCAGAAATATATCCTCCACCAGCAACAATAGATCCCCAGCATCAATAACCCTCCAGCAGCTAGCATCAGTAGATCCCTTCTCTCAACAGTAGATCCCTCCCAGCAACAACTGACTCCCTCAAGCAAAAATATCTTCTCCACCAGCAGCAATAGAGCCCCCAGCAGCAAACATCAATAGACCCTCCAGCAGCTAGCATCAGTAGATCCCTTCCCTCAAAAGTAGATCCTCCAAAGCAACAACTGACTCCCTCAAGCAAAAATATATCCCCCACCAGCAGCAACAGATCCCCAGCAGACATCATCAATAGACCCTCCAGCAGATAGCATCAATAGATCCCCTCCCTCAGCAGTAGATCCTTACCAGCAACAACTGACCCCTCAAGCACAAATATATCCCCACCAGCAGCAACAGATCCCTCAGCAGACATCATCAATAGACCCTCCACAGATAGCATCAAGTAGATCCCTTCCCTCAACAGTAGTAGACTGACTCCTAAAAAAAAACCCCACCAGCAACAACTGAGCCCCCCCTCAAGCATCAAAATACAGTAGATCCTCCACAACAAGCAAGCAATAGATCCCAATATACCCTAACAGCAGCCATCATCAATAGATCCCTCCAGCAACAAACTGCTAGCATAAGTAGATCCCTTCCTCAGCAGTAGATCCCTCCTCCCAGCAACAAACTGACTCCCTCAAGCATCGTCAATAGAAAATATAAGTATCCCCCATTCCTCCCAGCAACAACTTGCTCAGATCCCCACAGCAGCAAGCATCAATAGATCCCCCCTTCCAGCACACAGCAAGCATCACCAAGACCCTCCACACACACCCAGCACCTCTTGCTATTATCATTATATTCAATGCTGGAGTTCTGGAATGCGTTCACGGCCCGGTTCCCACAGAAAAAAGTCCCTGATTCTTTTGTTTCCAGGCATGCGCGGTCTTGGTCACATTTCTTTCGTACAAATAATATAGCTAATTACAAGAAAATCATTTGCTCTATTATCTTACAAAAAATGTTTCAGATATTTTGCATGAACCTAGATCGGTTCTCCAGAAGCTGTGCATCAGTATTATCCCATCCAATCGCAACAGAATCCTTTGCTGTCCATATTCTCACTGTGTACTAGGCCTCAAGCTAAAAGAATTATCCCCACCAGCACCAAAAGATCCCCCAGCATCAGCATCATGTTAGACCCTCCAATAGCGTGCATAAGTAGACACTTCCCTCAACATTGAGATCCCTCCCAGGGGCAACAACTGCCTCCCTCAAGGAAAAATATCCCCCACCAGCAACAATAGATCCCAGCAGCCAAACTCACAAGACCCTCCATGCACACCCCAGCACCTCAGGCTATTATCCATATTCCATCTCAATGCTGGGGCCCCCTGGAATGTGTTCACAACAACTGCCTGGTTCCCACAGCAAAAAAAATTCCCCACCTGATTCTTTCAGTTTCCGGGCATGCCGCATCAATAGGTCACATAGCATCAATAGATCCCTTTCATCACAAGATATATTGTGGGAAAACAAGAAAATCAAAAGGATCGGCTCTATTACTTACAAGAAACAATGCTTCATTGATATTTTTGCATGAAACTGATGGGTTCTTGAAAGCTAGGGATCAGATTATCCTTCAATCAAACTCAAAAATGCCTGTCCGATATTCTCAGGTGTGTATCTCATGGGGCAATAGGCTCCCAAAAGAATTTTGTGGAAAAAAAAAAAGATCAAAAGATCGCAGTCAGCATCACTGTACCCCCCAGCAGCCAGCGATCCCCTCCCTCATTGAGGGTCCATGCCAGGGGTGGACTGACAACTCATGGGGCCCCCGGGCAATAGGGGATCATGGGGCCTCTGTGTCCTTGCCCAAACTCAAAAAAGCCTATGAAAAAGGTACCAGGGGCATCTCATGGGGCCCCCTACTGACCCCGGGCCCTCGGGCAGTGCCCGAGTTTCCAAATAGTCAGTCCGCCCCTGGTCCATGCACACGCCAGTTTCCCATTTAATGTTTTTTTTTTTCTGCCAGAAAACTCCTCTCAAAAACGAAGAACCAAAAGGGGTTTTTTTTTCTGCCTCTAAATGCTAAGCTTCAAATATGCCTCAAAAAATCCTAATGCATAGTACATGTGGCAAGAAAATCGAACGAAAAAAAAACCCCACTATCAGATAATCTGATCGTTAGCTTTTGAGAGCGATCACGACAGTTCATGTGAAATTATCCAAAGGGACAAACATGAAATTTTTTTTCTCTTGAGATAATTGAACGATTTTTGTGTAATCAGTGCAGTATTCGTCCATAAAAAAAATCGAGTGACCAAGAATGCGCATGCAGGGAAATAAAAGAATACATTTCAATACAATATAATACTTTACATTATCGAGGGACGTCATATTCTGTCTTACAAGAACGTTCAGAACTCTAGTAAACCAGGGGCGGACTGACCATTTGGAAACTCGGGCACTGCCCGAGGGCCCGGGGTCAGTAGGGGGCCCCATGAGATGCCCCTGATACCTTTTTTTCTTAGGCTTTTTTGAGTTTGGGCAAGGACACAGGGGCCCCATGATCCCCTATTGCCCGGGTGCCCCATGAGTTGTCAGTCCGCCCCTGCTAGTAACCTATTAGTTTTCAACATAAAACTAGCATGCAAAAAAAAAAAGGACGATCATTCATCCGATATTCTCATCGTGTGTACCAGGCATAAGGCTGGCCATACATTACACAATTTTCAACTTCCTTTATATTTACTTTCAGCTATGTAGAACAAGGACCTGCCTGCTTGCATACAAATTGAACGTGTTTAGGTTGGACTTCATATCATCTGGTTTTGATGTGTTAGCTGTGTAAAGTCACATTAAACGTGAGTTTTTCAGCTTTTGTTAGCATTTTTTGCATTTTTTTTTTGGTAAAAAAAAGTCCAAAAACGCTGGTTTGCTAGTGGGTTTCTAGAGGAGCTTTTAGCTGTAAAAAAAAGTCCTCACGCAAACGGGACGTTTTGATAACGCTGGTAAACTTAGCTGTGCAAAGTCATGTTAAAAACGTGAGTTTTTCAGCTTTTTTTTATTAGCGTTTAGCTGCGTTTTCCTGTGTTTTTTCCGCAATCGCATTTAACTTTTTTTAGCGTTTTTTTTACCAAAGTTTTTTTTGTAAAAAAAAGTTCAAAAACATTGGATTGCGGCGGATTACTGCGTTTTGCAGCGTTAGAGCGTTTTTACAGCTATAAAACTCTTCTAGAAGTCCACTAGTCCTGGGTTTTTTTCCAGCCAAAAAAAGTCCCAGCCAAAAAAACGTTGATTGCAGTCTATGTGTGTATGGACACATGCATTGAGTGGTTAGCAAGGATAACATGCTGGGGGGATTTACTGGCTGTAGAAAAAAATGTCAAAAGCCAAAAACAGCCGCTGTAAAAACGTCCAGTGTGCATTTCAGCTTTTTTTAGTGTTTTTGCATTAGCGTTTAGCAGCATTTTCCCATGTTTTTACGCATTCGTGTCTTTAACTTTTTTTAGCTTTTTTTTACCCAAAAAAATTTTTTGGTAAAAAAAAGTCCAAAAATGCTGGTTTGCGGCAGTTTACTGCATTTTGCAGCGTTAGAGCATTTTTACAGCTTTAAAACTCCTCTAGAAACCCACTAGTCCTGGGTTTTTTTCCAGCCAAAACACGTCCCTGCCAAAAAATGTTGATCACAGTCTATGTGTGTATGGACACATAGGATAACATGCTGGGGGGTTTACTGGCTGTCGAAAAAAACGTCAAAAGCCAAAAAAAAACCGCTGTAAAAACGTCCCGTGTGCATGAAGACTAAAGGAAAATTGTACAAGAAAATTGCATAATGTGTGGCCAGCCTAATGTACATGGACAACTAAGGAGTTATTTGCTAAAGCTGGAGGGTGCAAAATCTGGTGCAGGTCTGCATAGTAACCAATCAGCTTCCAGGTTTTATTGTCAACGCTTAATCAGGGGCGGACTGACCATTTGGAAACTCACCCGAGGGCCCGGGGTCAGTAGGGGGCCCCATGAGATGCCCCTAGTACCTTTTTTCATAGGTTTTTTTGAGTTTGGGCAAGGACACAGGGGCCCCATGATCCCCTATTGCCCGGGGGTCCCATGAGTTGTCAGTCCGCCCCTGCGCTTAATAGAACATGCTGAAGTCAGAAGCTGATTGGCTCCCATGCACAGCTGCACCAAATTCTGAGTTTTCCAGTTTTAGTAAATCTCCCCCATAGGATAACAATGAGCTGCTTCTACAAGCAAAACACAAATCTGTAGCTGCATGGACCCTGTAGGTATGTGCATTGACGGTTCAACGGCGAAGCATCTCAAATTCTTTCATCCTCCAATCTGCGAATCAATTTGCGACCGTGAAAATAAAGTCCTGGCAAGTCAAAAAGAAAGCAAAAAGCAGCTTAGGACCTTTCTTCCTGTGCCGATGCTCTAGGAAAGTTTGCCCCTAAGTCCCTATCGCCCTCTTTTGTTTCATGAATGGACGCGGATATCACATCTGTCCCCGTCCCTCTTACTTCGAGGAGCAGCTTGCTCCGAAGACGTCACGACTTGTCCCAAGAAGAAGACAGGAACCAGAAGATGGACAATGGAGAGCATTGCTGGCAGAGGAAGGCTGGACTGTGGACTTTAGCACAGCAATGGCTTGCTCAAGGCGGAGTTGGAGCTTGGAGTGAATTGTGAACTTCCAGCCAACTTTTTATAGAGCGAGGGGGATTGCCCTAAGCTGTGTGCAGGCAGGGTCCCCCCTCTACACAGGGGAGGGGTTTACATGAGTCACTAGGAGCCCTCTGACAGCATCCACTCTCACACCAGCCTGCTTATCCATTCTTATTATGCATGAGTACGTCATCCATCCAGGGAGGAGAGTTTTGTAACAGTTATATTTAGTCCAAGAAGCTCCCTTTACTGGGCGGTATCACCAAACAGCTCGGAAATGCATAATGGGTTTTTGTTCAGAGGTTCAACTTTTTGTTGGTGCCCATTGGGGCCAATGCACTGGAGGACAAATGTTAAAAGTTAAATATGTCATCTTTATGGGGAAAATGACTTTACATGTTCATGTGACTTGGTCAGAAAGGGGATTTTTTTTTCCCCTTAGCAGAGAAAGTTATGAAAGTAAAAGTATCAGGATGTGTAATTATGTTGGGCATAGCGAGTTACTCATTGTGACTTCCATGGAATTTTGTTGTGCAAGAACAGCAATAGGTCAGGTTGTAAAAGGGGTCAGCAATTCATTTTCACCCTTAAAGTAGTAATATACCCAAAAGCAGACATTTATTATGTCTTAGATTGTAAGCTCCCAGGAGCAGGGCCCTCCTAACCCTCTTGTATTGAACTGTAATTGCTGCTCTATTGTCTCCCGTTATATTTGTAAAGTGCTGAGCAAACTGTTGAAACTATATAAATTCTGTATAATAATAATTATGCAGCACTACCCCCCTTAGGAGTTGCAAAGATTTTCAAAGCTTATATACCGTATTTTCCGGCATATAAGACGACCCCCTACTTTCCTGTTAAAATGTAGTGTTTGGGCTATACTTGCCGTATATGACTATCCCTCTTCCAATGCACACCAGTGGGAAGAATAGTGCCCCATCATTGGTGTCAGTGGGAGGAATAGTGCCCCATCATTGGTGTCAGTGGGAAGAATAGTGCCCCATCATTGGTATCAGTGGGAGGAATAGTGCCCCATCACTGGTATTAGTGGGAGGAATAGTGCTTCATCATTGGTGTCAGAGCGACGAATCGTGCCCCATCATTGGTGTCAGTGGGAGGAATAGCACCCCATCATTGGTGTCAGTGGGAGGAATAGTGTCCCATCATTGGTATTAGTGGGAGGAATAGTGACCCATCATTGGTGTCAGTGGGGGGTGGAATAGTGCCCCATCATTGGTGTCAGTGGGGGGTGGAATAGTGCCCCATCATTGGTGTTAGTGGGAGGAATAGTGTCCCAACATTGGTGTCAGTGGGGGGTGGAATAGTGCCCCATCATTGGTGTCAGTGGGGGGGGAGGAAAAGTGCCCCATCGTTGGTGTCAGTGGGAGGAATAATGCCCCATCATTGGTATCAGTGACACCAATGAGGGGGCACTATTCCTCCCACTGACACCAATTACACCTGTTCTAGTATGGTGCTACTGCAGCCAGCATATGTGGTTGCAGCAGCACCTCTGCACGGCACACTTACCGGCCGCTCCTTCACTCGATTTTCGCAGGGTCGCTCGGCTCCGCCTCCTCGCCGGTGATTGGCCGCCTGTGTGCCTTTTCTGAGCTACAGTTCTAGCGGCCAATCACCGGTGAGGAGGCGGAGCCGAGCAGCCAAGCAAACATCCAGTGGCCTAACCGAATTAAGGAGCGGGGGCCGCACTTCCTGGACCGGATCGTCGCAGGACCGGAGCCAGGTAAGAGACAGCAGGCCCCTTCCAACCCCTGTACTTAGTGTCCCTTCCGTTGGAAGGGGGGGGGCGGCAGCGGCACCGTGCCGTCCCCCTAAAAAGTGTCAGCATGCCGTATACCGGTGTATAAGACGACCCCCGACTTTTGAGAAGATTTTCAAGGGGTAAAAAGTCGTCTTATACGCCGGAAAATACGGTAGTTACTAATTAATTATAGGAACTGACAAATGATACATAATTGTATAATAAATAGGACATTCTAGAAAACGAAACCCCTAATTATTTATTTCACCCTCCTAACCCTCTTGTATTGAACTGTATTGTTACTGTATTGTCTTATATTGTAAAAGCGCTGAGCAAACTGTTGGCGCTATATAAATCCTGTATAATAATATAATAATTATGTAGCACTACCCCCTTAGGAGTTGCAAAGATTTTGAGTCCCCCTATAGTCCTGCACAGCCAGGCAATACGCATTTTCCATTCAGACTTGCATCAAAAAGACAGCGACCAGTCCTTGAGCTTGTTCTGATGTTTTATTAGGGGGTAAAAAAACTTGGATGGGATGAGGGGTCTACGGGATGCCCAATGGAACTGGGACTGAGGACAAACCTCCTGAAACTATTTACAAGTCTGTACAGCAAAAGATCCTCTTTTGGAGAGCTAGCCAACCTCTCCCAGTGTACCACCCCAGACCCCAGACTCTCCTCTATCTGGCTGCCTAGAGGAATCCCTGAGCAAGGGATCTAGTGCCTGTCACTTTAAGACAATAAGACAGTCCAGGGCGGCAGCTAATCTGGTTTCCCCCCAGAGCACGGGTGGACTGACCACTTGGAAACTCGGGCACTGCCCGAGAGCCCGGGGTCAGTAGGGGGCCCCATGAGATGCCCCTTGTACCTTTTTCATAGGCCTTTTTGAGTGTGGGCAAGGGCACAGGGGACCCATGATCCCCTATTGCCTGGGGGCCCCATGATTTGTCAGTCCACCCCTGCCCCAGAGTGATCCTTCTGCCATCTGGCCAAGGGGGAGCAGGCCTACTCACCCAGTCCTTCTTCTGTGCTGCTGGTGGGTCCATGGCTGCTACTAGGTCATCTAGATGGGCCACTCCTTCCCTGCCTCACAGGTGGTCCTCTCTCAAGGACTGGTGAAGTCCCGAGTTTTCCTTTTACCAAGGTCCTCTGTCTTCAGGTGAGCCCCTCTCCATCTGGGCCACCTCAAAAGCTCCTGCCCTCCAGCCTCACATTCTTCTCTCTCTTCCACCTGAAATCTCCTGTTGCTGAGCAGACTCAGTTACTCTTAAAGGTCGTCCTAGCCCCTTGCCAAGCCTCCTGATGGAGATTGGCCAGGATCCCCTAAGAGTACAAACCAGCCACTGCTCAAATCCACCCACTGCTTCTAGACCTTTTTCCAAAGTTCTAGAGCAGAGGGAAATTCCAGAGGGGCTGGTCTGCAAAGCCTCTCAGCCCTGAGCTAATTATGACCCCCGCTAGCTATAACTCCCAGGCTGCTACCCAGCCCTAGCTAACCAATAAGGTCTAGTTCCCCCTAGCCGACTAAAAGGGTGCTAAAATTATATTGCAGCTTACCAGTTCTTAGATGCGATGGTTGAATTAGTTTTATTTTTAGGCTTTCTTTTATTTTAATCTAGTGATCTGGCCAGCAAGTCTGTTGCTTTTTAACAGAAAAAGCTGTCCTGCAGATGTGGCCATTAGAGGGTTGAGACTAACCGTTTACCCTGGACTGGGGTGCTTATAATTATAGTGCTACCCCCGACGGGGACGCTTGATAATGCTTATCCTCAGTGTTTGCCCTGACCTTGCAAGTCTCTTGACACCTCTGACACTCTTGAGTTCAGACATATTTCAATAGTAGAGAGTATTAGTGCAAGAGACACAATTCTTTAGTGACACCTCTATATTGGATTGGCTCAAAAAGATATACCACAGGGATAAAAGCAGAACACTGGTACAATAGAAACAATCAATTAGCAACGTTTAACAGGTCATGAGTAGTAAGCTTCAACTATTTAATTGCAACAAGACAGTAATAGGGGGAACAGGGGCGGACTGACAACTTATGGGGCCCCCGGGCAATAGGGGATCATGCAGCCCCTGTGTCCTTGCCCAAACTCAAAAAAGCCTATGAAAAAGGTACCAGGGGCATCTCATGGGGCCCCCTACTGACCCCGGGCCCCCCGGGCAGTGCCCGAGTTTCCAAATGATCAGTCCGCCCCTGAGGGGGAAGAGAAGGCTTGTTGACTCATCAGCTCCCTCTGGGCCATCAGTACTAAAACAGGGTATGCAGAGAATTATGTAAATGTATACACCAGCATGAACATATGTAGGTACCTTAGTTTGAGTAACAATAGCCTTAGAAAGGAAGAGCATAGAGCAAGGGGTGGGGTCAAGCTGCGCTCTGTGTGTCTATGGATGCACACATCTTGGCTCATGACCAAGCCTGCATGAGTGCCCCTAAAGCAAGTGGCCTGCTATGGGGGTGTAGGGTAGGTGGGTGACACTTCCTCCATGTTCCCCTCCTTGTTGGGTGCCAAGTAAGGATCACATAGGAGGCCTACCCTGGGGTGGGCTCTTCTGGGCTACACTAGGCACCTTGGATAGGTTCACTGCCTTACATATGGGGTACCTTTACTCAAACAGACGATTGAACTCTAGTTGACGCTCTTGATGTTAATATACTGTACACTACTCTACTGGACCCGCAGAGCCTATATCCTCTCCATCCATCCAGCATATCTCCACTACCACAATATTAGTAACAGAATGGGGTCCTGCAATGCACCTAGTGCAGACTCCATATGTGCTCTGCATTATCTCTTTTCCGTACCTGTGCACAGGCTGAGAACTTCTGCTGCGCTAATCTGCTCCCGATGCTATTGGAAATGGACCGCTCACGGAGAGAGTGCCGACAACAACTCCCAAGAGGCTGACCCACACCTGTCACAGGTACACGCTTCCCAACAGGCTGCTCGGTAAATCTCCATTATTCTTGGTAACCACTTGCTTCACTCTGCACCGCAGTACTCCTGCAGTATTGGCTTCATACCCCAATGTGCTATACCAACCTACACTGCAGACCAGCCAAAAACAGCCTCTGTAAAACCGTCCAGTGTGCATGAGGACTAACTGTTGACCATAAATGATCGTGTCCATATATGGTCAATGACATCACCTGGGAGAGCCCA